AAATACAGTGAAAACAGGAAGAGAAGGGTGATAGATGATATCCTCCTCTGCATTTTAGATGCATACTGCCATATTTGATAAAATTTGACTCTCTAGCATAAATGCTGATTTAATGTGGGTTTTGTTTGTTTGTGTGTGTGTTTATTTTTTTATAAGAATATGAACGATCAGGCAGATACAAATTGTGGCGGACAATGTCATTCCAGAGTTTATCTGTGGACAATATGAACTGAATATAACTGAATCAAGGCAAAATATAACTCAGCTTACATTGCTATGCATCTTTTATTGCCCTTTGTAGCTGTTCATCATATTTTTAATCTTCTCCTCCAGGCAATTATGGGAGAACATGACAAATTTTAGAATATTAACTTTGAAAGAAGACATACAATGCCTACAGATTCACTTCACCAGCACTTAGTGGTACTGTTCCTCTTTGCTGAAGTGCACTTATGATTCGACAGATTCATTTCTCCAGGATTAATACCTTTATTCACAATTGCAAACGTAAAATGTTAGTTTCCTCAGATTGCAATTAAGAACAATTGTGGCAGGGAGAGCTACGCTGTATACCTTCCAAAAGGGCAAATATGAAAACATCTGTGGTTTGATTCCCCTTCTAATTTTCAGAATGCAGAGACATTCTCCTCCCTGTCATTACCAAAGAACTGAAGGAATTATTGGATCCAAAGGAAGAAATGCAGAACAATGTACAACAGGAGAAAAAATATTGCATTGAATTACTCAACAGCATCCTAGAAGTTCTCAGCTGTCAAGATGCAGTGAGTACCAAGAAGCATCATGATTATATAGCTGATTCCAGTTTATTAATTTTGTGCTGATTAACTTGTTCCAGTTAATTACAACCCAAAGAATCAATCTAGATTCACATAAACCATGGTTTGGAAAGCAGGAATATATTGCAGACATGCTACATCCTTTTGGCTAACGTTAAAAATAATCTCTAGCATTAGAAACATAACAACTGCCCTGTTTTTCTTTTATGTCAGCTGTTGGCTGAACTTGGCAGTGGAGGCAAATCTGAATTATAGTCACTTCCATGTTTTCAGAAATAGGGAACGTGGTGCCAGAGGTGTCTGTAGGGGTTCAAGAGGGGCAAATAATAAAACAGCATTGTGCTGAATGAATGTAAGCTCCTTCCCTTTTGTTTATGCATCTGATGTCTCGTGCATGAATGGAAGGGGCAGGGCTTGTATCATGCAACACTGTTTTTGTCAGTTTGATGAAAGTGCTGGATCCTAAAGATGTCTCCAGCCATTACTTTCATTTGACATGATGCTAGATATAATCTGATGCATGCAACATGTATTGGATAGTAATTCATTCAGACTGCAGACTCCATCTTGCAGTCTCCATGGTGACATGTCAGCCATTTTGCAACATTTTTCTTTTGAAGACTGCAGCATGGAACACATGCAACATCTACTGTATTAGTGATCCACTGGCCAGAGATTTTATATTCACTAAAATAGGATCTTAATTTTATTATTTGAAAGACATTTCAATGCATTAGCTATAGCTTTATCTTTTAATCAGCACTTCTTCTGAGATTATCTCAGTATCTTCCATAAGACTTATTTATTTTCATTTTTTGTGCTGAGCAGATGAGTGGTTGAGTTTTGTATCACTTTGAATCAAGTCAGACCATGTTAAAGGACATGATTTATTCATTATGTATATACCCTGCTGCAAGCCTGCAGGATTCTTGGCAGCTTTAGGGACTTTGCAAATCATTAGAACATATAAAAGTAATGGAAACTATCAACTAAAAAAAATTTCCTAACCAGGTGTCACTTTTTGTATTGCTAAACGTGTGGCACTAAACGAGATAGTCACTTGGCTGAAGTGTTAAGCATGGCCTTAGTCAAATAGAAATATGGGCCTCTTCAATATTCATGGACCTAGTAAGAGGAGCATTCACACAGAGTAGTAAACCAAAGGTTGGTGCCATGCACATGAGCAGAAAGGACCCTGAGTAAAGACTCTAATTTGCACTCCTTTACCACTCTTAGTACCACATGGCTAGAGAAAGTAAACAAAGATTCAGTTCCATTTTTGCATGATTCCTGGGGTGCTGTTACATATCAAAGGCTTGTCATTTAAAATAAATGTTAGTCAATTGCAAAGCAAGCCAATTTTATGCTATGATTTTTGAGGCTGGCTTGTTCACTTAACTGGAATTTATTTTAAACAATGATCTGGAATTTATTTTAAACAATCTCACATGACCAATCCAGAATCAGCAAAGATGTAATAGAATCTTGATTTATAACTCATCCTGGTCAAGGAGAAAAGAAGGTTAAGCAGAACACACTGCATGGAAAGGAAAGGAATACTATAGAACTGTGAGCAAAATGTTCATTCCCAGTTTTCAATCACATTTTGAGGTTAATTAACTCACATGTTTAATGTAATTAATGACTGCAAATATTTAACATATTTTATGATTCCCCTCCTCCCCCCCATAATGTAACTGCTTTGTTAGTACAGTTTGATTAAATGCTTTGTCACAATTAGTACTATGCCTTTATAAAATAGGAGAGAGATATCCTACTCACGGTCTAGCCCTGCAAAGGTTTAATTTGACAGTCTCACTGTATTCCCAGAAGACAGTTCCCAAAGAAGTGTGAATGGATTGTAGTCATTCGCTTTGGGCCTTAGCTATTCAACCAGATGACATGCCTATCACCTTTGAGAAAAATAATAAGAATACTTGATTTTACATGGCCCTTTTCTCTTTCTACCACCCACCATAAATTTCTGCAGCTGGGTTTATTATCTAGGGTTATAAATTAATCTGTTACAATAGCAGCAAACTTTATTTGAACTGTGTGGCTGTCACACCCCCTTGACACTTCAAGTACAGTTCTTGAAGATAATTACAGAGTAAAAATGGTATAGATCCTATAATGCACTTTGATGTTTTGTCTCTTATCTATTATATAGATTTTACCACACAGGATTCTGACAATGTTTGTTTGTGCTAATCCTTGGTTGGCTATAGGTTTGCTTTCAGTGAGGAAAAAGTTACATTAAAGCTTATTCTATTTTCCTTTTACCTTTTTAAGTCTTAAATTTACTTATTGTCCTCAGCTGCTTTGAAAAGACACTGTTTCCTCTAAAATAAACCACACACTGTAGCAAATTGCAAATGCTAAATTCTAAAAGTCAGTTTTA